GGGGGGGGGGGGGGCAGGAGAGAAATGTTACATGGAGGTGGAAATAACATCGTTCTCATTTCTTTTTATATCTCTTGAATTTTAGTTGCTTTAAAGTACCTACACCTTGTTTAATTTCCTTAGAGAATTTTAACGCAACTTCTACTTTTTCCATTTTCCTTTGAAAGTAGCAATTGGTAATGAATTCCTACAGTCATCCAAAATGCAGAAGCACACTAATATCAACGTGCAATGGAGTATAATGTATTATACTCTGAATGAATGACAGTATTATACTCTGAAGTGAAGGTGACTTTGTCAGAGTTAAAACTACAGCAAAAGAAACATCCTTAAATAATCATGAAGGGAGGGAAACAGAGATAATTTAAAAAAAAAAAGAGTAAACAGATGCCAATTACAACAGAGAGCCGAACTCTCAATATCAAAATGCGTAACCATAAGAAAAATCCTAAAAGGTCGAGTCGAAACACAAAACTAGTATTAACCACAAAAATGTCCCTCGAACATAAGCCGCAAAATAACTCGCTGTCGAGGCCGTACGCTCACTAAACCTTTCGAATTTTCTTCCTTTTAAGATGAGATCATAAAGATGGAGAAAAAAGAGAAAAAGAGAAAACCAGTTACGACCAATGGCAAAGGTGGTGCGCCGCGTATTCGGCCTCCAGGAAATGGGAACGTTGCTCGTGGTCGTGGACGTGCAGGTCGTTCTGGCAAACAAACTGCTGCTGCTGGTAACCAGAAGAAAGGTCAAGCCTGGCGCCTACAACGGAACCAGAACAATGTCCAAGGAGGCTTTGTCAAGAAGCGTTACAATAAGAACAATCCAGGCACCCTGGTACGCTCAAGATCCAATATATCATTAAACAGAATTGGTGCAGTGCCGAAGAATGTATCATCTGTAAGAGGTGGTTTTATCTCACGTCGTGGACGAGGTGGCAGATACACTCTAAACCGCACCAAGAATCGCACCAATTTGACTTTTGCCCAGGGTGGATTTTTTACTGGTGCAAAAGGCCTCCTCAAGAGAACCAACAGTATGCCTAACCTTCGTGATCCCACTTCTGTACATAATCGTCTTGGTTATCAAAGTCCAGCACAAGTGGCTTATAGAAACAGAGTAAAGCGTGCAACACAGCTTCTACTTCAAAGACAGAATCAGAGACAGAATCTTTCCAACGAATTTAGGGTAAGTCGAGTCTAGATATTTCCCCTGAGTTTATTATTAGAAACTGAGAAGATAGTTAGGATTCCTTGTGAATTATTAATAGAGCACTGTGGAATAGTCTCTGGCCATAGCACTACTGCACATTTCTATTTGTAATTCTTTATTCAAGAGTTTGGATCACAAGTACTGCAAGGACCGATTTAGAGAATCTTTATGAATTTAATAGTTGTATGAAAAGTGCCAATGATCTTACAGGTGCCCCAGGCCGGAAAGCCTTTGACTACTCTTCAGCAACGTGCCCTGGAACGTAGACAGCAGATCCTTACCTCGCAGCGACGATTCAACACCGGAGGATTGAGATCCGATCAGATATTGCGTGCACAAAGGCGCGCGCAGTACGAACAAAAGCTTATGAGGATGAAGTATGACTATATTTGAACCATGATCACCGTGACCACGTCGACTTCTTTGTTCTTTTAAAGCCTCCGGTTTCATCCCTGTTTCGCCAAGATAAAAATTAACATTGCAAAAAATTCTCTTTGAAAATTCAAAACCTCAGCGAACACCTCTGGATTGTCCAGGTCATACAATATGGATTCTTTCGATATTTTTCAGCACCGCCAGGATGAATACCAATTCCAACGTGAACTTTATGTGTACCCTTGGGAACGAGTATTCACCCGGCATCCGTCAGCGGTCCCTCAGTCTCTCACAAAATCAAACTGGCAGTATGAATAATCTTCGACAACTACCAAGAGGAAGATCTCCCATTACACAGACTGTGCAGAACCTGAACATGGTGAGTTACATACTCACTTTCAAATTTTTATTTCTCTAAATCGTAATACAACCGCATTTATTTTTGAGAATTATATAATTTATTATTATTTCTCTTTCAGGTTGGAAGATCTCCTATGTTTGGCCGTCAACACGCCAGATCAAGGTCACGATCACGCTCGCGTACGCGCAACATTCCTGCCAACGACTCAAGAGAAAAGGTGGACGATCGAACCTTCAGCGAAATGATATACAGCATTTCCTATAACCTGGGTGTCACTGGACGAACTCTCAACGACAGATTTAGCTTCTAAGAGATCTCAGAAGATCCTCACAAGGACGCCGGAAGACATTAAGAAATGAGAAGAACGCGCAAGCACGCGCATTCTACTCGTTCTGATACTTTGGACACCAACATGTTGAATCGTATATGTATTTTCTATCGGAGAGAGATTCAAGGATTTATTTTCGACTTTATCAATACCTACCGAAGGAGTCACTCTCCGACATTTTTTGGTAGGAAAGCAGAAAAAGAAAACAGAAAAAAATCAACTTGCTGGTATTTTTAGTTACAGTTTTTCTTTCTCTTTAATCATACAGAGAGAATTGACGTTTTTCTTTTCTCCTCTTCATTACAATAATCATTATAAGAAATGTAGAATATAAAGACGCGACTTATTTTGTTTATTATCACCAGAGCAGCGCCACGTGCAATACCGTCGCCCTGCTACGCCCTGCTTCTAATGCACTTCACTAGACTAAAAGAGATCGTATTTATTTATAACGCTCGTAAAAAAGTGAATCTTGTGTTATATCGTGATTTTTAATATTAATGTGATAAAAAACGTGAGGAATGTTTTAACATGTATAGTACTAGTTAAGGATATATAATATATCCAGGCTTTGTATGACGTCGGGTGTTTTCCGTGGGACGCCATTATTTTTTTTTTTGACAAATAAGGGAAAAAATAAGCTTAAACTTAGGTAAAAAAATAAGTAATAAATACGTTTAACGTTCACTGCACGTCTTTTACAGTACAAGACGTTATTATCCGTAGAGATATTTACTGAAATAAATAAATACCAAATAATATCGGTCTTCCTCTTTTAAGAAAGACCTTGAATTTATCATAATTTTGTTTTTCCTCAATGATAATATCCATATCGTAGTGGCAACTTTGCAACAGCAGTTTATTAAGGGGTATCGCCTTCACATTTCTTATCCTGAAACGCTGACGCTCGCGTCATTTTAAACATAACATTTTTTATTGTATATCGTGTTACCAGCGTAACAAGACACTCTCAGTCGGAAGTTGCAGTGCAATACGAGAACAACAAAGGAGAGTAGGGCGAAAGAATTTTTATTCTCGTATTTTTCTAAATCAATGAGCATATTTACGAAATTCGGGACAATTTGGTTATTAATGCAGTATATAATCTAAATTTAGCTATCGAAATGTAGCTTTTTATTGAGTCCATATTTATCTACATATTTATATCATTGAGCTCTTTGGGAAAATAAGATGTTGTCAAAAGTGACAAAACTCTTGGGGGTGTTCCTTCAAAATGAGAAACAGGTAGGATAGTTTTTGAAAATTTATTGTATAATCACTTTTTTTTTATTATTCCAAATTCAAACAGCAAGTTCGCCGCTTGAACGTCCACGAGCATGTAGCTTACACTTTATTGAGAGCTGGTGGGATACCGACGCCGCCGTTTGGCGTCGCGAAGACGCCGGAAGAGGCTGAAAAATTTGCTGCAGATCTTAAGACAAAGGATATTGTCTTAAAGGCTCAAGTGCTTGCAGGAGGTAGAGGGAAAGGTCATTTCAAAGGAAGTGACGTCAGTGGTGTCATGATGTGTGAAACGTGAGTTTGTATTTGATTGTGGTATGAAGTATTGCACTGTTATTCTTGACACATTATAATGTATTATTGATAGACCTGAGGAAGCTAAAGACATTGCTAAGAAAATGCTGAACAAGCTTTTAGTAACAAAACAGACCGGAGAAGCTGGAAGAGTCTGCAATTCTGTAATGGTCACTACCAGAATGTTCCCACGGAAGGAATTTTATCTTGCTGTCATGATGGAAAGAAGTTTTGACGTGAGATAAGATAATGCATAATGATTCATTGTAGTGTAGTATACAAAACGTACTAAAATTTATTCAATCAAAAAGGGTCCTGTCATCATCGCTTCTAGTCAGGGTGGTGTCAATATTGAGGATATTGCTGCTACCAATCCAGATGCCATAACATATATCCCAGTAGATATTACCAAAGGTTTAACCAGCGAACAGGCTAATAAGGTAGCAGAAAAAATGGGTTTAGGTACAAGAAAGGATATAATTTCTGAGGTGGTTTGCAATCTCTATGAGCTTTTTATAGAAAAGGATGCATTGTTGCTTGAGATAAATCCATTAGCTGAGGATATTTGTGGAGATTGTGAGTTCTAGCAAGTTTTTCTACATAAAATGTAAGACAGCTCATCGATCGATTTCTTTTTTAGATTATGCACTTGATTGCAAATGTAGATTTGATGATAATGCTGAGTTCCGACAGAAGGAATTATTTTCATTGAGAGATTGGAGTCAGGAAGATCCTAAGGAAGTAGCTGCTGCCAAGTATGATTTAAATTATATAGCCTTGGATGGAAATATTGGATGTATGGTGAATGGTGCTGGATTGGCAATGGCTACTATGGATATTATAAAATTGTACGGGGGTTCCCCGGCTAATTTTTTGGATGTCGGTGGTTCTGCTACTACAGAAACTGTTACAGAAGCCTTTAAGATCATCACGTCAGATCCGAAGGTATCAGATTTTCTCAATAACTATTATTAGAATTGTTGCCTATTAACACGTTTATATGAATTCTCTGTCTTCAAGGTGGAGACTATATTTGTTAATATATTTGGAGGTATAATGAGATGCGACGTAATCGCTGAGGGAATCATCAGAGCGTCTTCAGACTTGAAACTTAAAATTCCCGTTGTAACGAGACTCCAGGTGATTTTATAAATTTTGATTTTAATTCCTCGGGACTAACCGCATTTATTAATGCTATCTAGGGAACTATGGTGGAAGAAGCAAAAACTCTTATAGCTAATGCCAAACTCAAAATCATTCCCATTGATGATATGGCGGACGCCGCAGCAGCTGCTGTCAAATTATCTACAATGGTTCGTCTAGCAAAATCTATGAATTTAGAAATGAGTTTAGCTCATGAGGATAATACATCGTCGGACAAGGATTCTCCCTGTAAAAAGAGAAAAAAAAAATGAAAAATAAGGCGTTTTATCATATATTATATTTAATATTATTATTTGTAACAAATATATCAAAGTTTCGAAATGAGGACCGCAATTGTCTAGTTATTGTATTTAAGATTGTGTATTAGCAATGACGTTTAATTGTATGGTATTTTATATATTTCGTTAAACCGCGCTGATCGGTAATTACAAATTATATTTTATTCTCTGTGTACTCATTTTGAAAAGTGCAGAAAGTGTAGGTAACGAAAACAGACCTATTGTGTATTCTCTGTCGGTGCACGTACACTCTGTGTACGCTCTGTCGGTTTCTACACTGTAAATGACGTCGCTATCATACGCCAAATAATACAGTTATAAAAATATCCAAATTTGTTGTGCACGGTTTTTTTTACATAAAATGTGTTGAGGCACAGTCATTCGAATTGAATATTTTATTGCAGAACAGTTTACACATCTTTATCTGCCAATGTTTGTATTCTGTCCTGACAGATGGTAAAAAATTGTGCCATCTATACGAAACTCCGAGAACTATATCATCGCTATATTAAAGTGGGGCTAAGAAGACAAGCCAAGTTCTTGGCAGTAAAGTGGCAGTCCACTGCCACCGCTTAACTAAGATGGCCACCATGTTGTCCCGGACGATCACAATTGCTGAGAATTTCAGCCGACTTAATGGGAGCAAGGTACATTTAGTTATTCAAAAATGTGAATAATAATTTCTACCATTTATAATACATCGTAACCAACGTTTAGTGAGTCTCTTGATTACCTTTAATGTCTAAAATTTATCGAACGTCGCAAAAAGGGGCGATCACCATATTAGATTTGTAGTCTGCTAAATTGAGCGCCAGGGTCAGACGATTCGAAGCCAAGGATTTTCTAGACTGTGAAAGGTGACGAGCATGAACAGCGAATTCTCGCAGAAAAATTCTACGACAATTATGTAACTGTTGCCCAATGGCTTCCTGATACTCCATGCTATTATCTGATATTAATACGAGTGACGGGGCCACATTATTCCAAATGATTTAACCGAATTATTCATACAGACTTGCTTGGGGCCATTGTGCCAGTTTCTAAGCTCTACTTAATTCAAATGTTCTACTTTGAATCAACAATTTTTATTATACGAGAAGTCGATACGATGCGCCCTTGTTTCTTACTATTTTATTTTTTAACGTTGCGCAATATTTTGGTCCATTTTAGATTTTCTACAGATGGTCTTTGGTATGCACGCGGAATGTCTAGGCCATTGCCAGAGTTTTCAGAGCAGTTACTTTTAGTTAAGGACTTGCATGGGTTGTTTGATTGGTTATGATTATTACTTAGTGTTACATTTCTGGTGTTTGTGACTGTTTTTGTAGAAGTTGAAACTTCCTAAAATATGTTCAAAGTCTAGGTTTGCTACTTTGACTGATAAAGACTCTCAGATAGCAAATCAGAGTCACAGTCCTTGAACTATTATTTACATTAGTATTAAAAATTTTGTGCACTTTTACCCCGAAATGATTTATCTGAAATGTATTTTTAGTATCTTATATTTTGGGTATGTAATATCACTGTTTACAAATTAATTATATAAAATGAATCGGTTGAAAGTCCTTAGTCTTACGATACACAGCTGCTGATTGTTTACGTTAGACTACATTAAAACATTACTATTTGCATTGGCATAGATAAAAATCACATTAAATAATTTCTGTAAATATTAAAATTTGTTAGACATGTGATTCATTCAGTTTTATTCGATACAAGCTTGATAAGACTATATCATATTTTCAAAGTATGACAACATACTCTTTTACAGATATTAGCTTGTAAAACTGGTTTGACGAAGCAGCCTGTCAGAAACTTGAATGTCCATGAACACATCAGCTACAGTCTTTTAAATGAAGCAGGCATTCCAACACCGAAATTCGGGGTAGCAAAGACGCCTGATGAGGCTGCAAAGTTGGCAGCTGATCTTAAGACCAAGGACATTGTCCTAAAAGCTCAAGTTCTTGCTGGTGGAAGAGGAAAGGGCCATTTCAAGGGCACCAATGTCAGCGGTGTCAAGATGTGTGAGACGTATGTACTCGATTCCTAAGTTTAAATATAACAACAGTTTAGTATGACCATCAACCAATTTAAGTATTTGTCAATCTGTTTTATTCACAGTCCTGAGGAGGCCAAGGCCCTTGCTAGCAAAATGCTTGGTAAGCTTTTGATTACGAAACAGACTGGCGAAGCTGGTCGGATATGCAATGCTGTCATGGTCACCCAGAGGATGTTCCCCAGGAAGGAATATTACCTTGCTGTTATGATGGAACGATCCTTTGGAGTTAGTATATTACTATAAGACATTTTACGTGAAGATAAAATTCATGATTTATTATAATCTGATCAATTAATTATACAGGGACCGGTTATAATTGCCTCCAGCCAGGGTGGCGTTAACATAGAAGAAGTCGCTGCCACTAATCCGGAAGCCATTACCTATGAACCCATTGACATTAATACGGGTATCACACCAGAACAAGCAGATCGTATTGTTAAGAAGCTTGGCCTTGAGAGCGTCAAGGATTACATCTCCAATGTGATAGTCAGCCTTTATCAAATGTTTGTGAAGAAGGATGCTCTTCTGCTGGAAGTGAACCCTTTTGCAGAGGACATAAACGGAAAGTGTGGGTAATCGCTAATTTTACTTATATCTCCTATTCGATAATAATTTCCATTAGCGTTAAATAATTATTTAACTTCCATCCTCTTTCTCTCTCTCTCTCTTTTACGTAGACTTCGCCCTCGACTGCAAGTGCAGATTCGACGATAATGCCGAGTTCCGGCAGAAGGAATTATTCGCCCTACGTGATTGGAGTCAGGAGGATCCTAAGGAGGTCGAGGCTGCCAAATTCGAATTAAACTACATCGCCCTGGACGGTAATATCGGTTGCATGGTTAACGGAGCTGGTTTGGCCATGGCCACTATGGATATCATCAAGCTCCACGGAGGAGAGCCGGCAAACTTTCTGGACGTTGGCGGTGGCGCTACCGCATCTGCCGTAAAAGAGGCTTTCAAGATCATCACGTCCGATCCTAGAGTTCATGCACTCCTGGTGAACATTTTCGGCGGTATCATGCGTTGCGACGTTATCGCCGAAGGAATTATCGCAGCCACTAAAGAACTTAGCCTCAAGATTCCCGTGGTTGTTAGGTTACAGGTAACTAAAATAATTAAATCATGAGATCAGTTAACCTAATTACGAATTATTTATTACAAATCGTTCTTTTCTTCTTAATAAAGGGTACGAACGTGGATGAGGCAAAAGCTCTAATTGCCAATGCCGGTCTCAAGATTGTCCCAATAGACGACTTAGATGAAGCGGCACGTGTGGCAGTGAAACTCTCGACTATAGTTAAGCTGGCCCAATCAGCTAATCTGAGTGTCAACTTCGAGTTACCAGCAATTTCATAAATAATTACTAAGGATCAGTATAAGCCCACGAGTATAATGAACATATAACTCACGCACTAGAAGACAAGTATATGAAAAAACAGAAAGGAAAAGGCTTAAAGCTTTTACATGGTGGGTAGATAATTCCTATTGGGGAAGTACTCATATGTCCTGCAGAGATGCTAACGGTTAAGTGAGACACGGGGCTGATTAGGCTAGTAATTTATGAAACAGATTAATGATCCGAGCAAGTGAAAAGGCATAGATTAGAAGAATCTATGTATTTTGCTTATCCATTCTAACTTTGATATTCTCTTTATTTCCACTTCTTCTTCTTCTTCTAATATTCGCTATATGCAGAGCATAAAATGCGAGTTCCCTTTATATCTATGTACGTGTAATCGCAGGCACAAAAAAAAACCGTGAATGAAAAAAGGAATCTGTGTCCTACTATACATATGTCGGGAGCCAGTTATAAGTACAGTCCTTTGACAGGGCTTGTCTTACAGTATTAAAACAAGAATTCGAGGCCATAGTTCTCATTATTATTCTACATAGTTGCACATGGTAGCGCATTTTGTCGACAGTGTATACGCCGACGAAAACAGTGAATACTTTGACATTATTCGCGACCATCGTCCACGACAACAAGAGGATAAATAAATGTCAAAGGCCTCGAGTTGTCATATACATAGATTCTAAACACGATTAACTCTTAATGCATCCGCTACCCCAAGACGAATAGAGAAAATTACAGAAAGAGCCTGTTAAATGTAATATGTATAGACACATAAATTATTTTACTTAAATTTAGTTTGCATTCATTATTTTACATGGCCATTGTGTCTTATGATTCTTGCTGCATTATTGCACTATCAATTTATATATGGTATTTTTAAAATTTTGTAAGTATTTTGAAGTCAGTTCCAAAGCGACTTATAGTTTTTGATCACTGAAACGAATGCAACTCTCATCCACTTCCGTTTTTATTAAAGTAGTTGTCTCGTCAGAGTCCAAAGGTGAAATCCTATTTGAACATGCTAGAGTTTTAAAATTTCCATTCAGATACTTTATATTACTTTGAAATATGTAATATCAACATGTTACTGTTTGAAAGCATGAAAAGAATATTTAGTAATGTTCGAAAAGACTGGCACTGTGGAAATTTTTTAAAATGCTTGTAACAAGTAAACCCCAACAGTTTTGGAATTCTAAATAACAAACGACAAAGTGCTCGTATAGTGAAAATTTCATTACAAAATGTAAAAGGCAAGTTGTATATAAAATTTTCTGGTCAATCAAACATCAGCCTAGCATTGATATTTTGGTGACATGTATAAAAAGTTATGGATTTGATAAGTATTTAAGCTTGGAAAGTATGAATCTCTTTTTAATTGCATAGGTAGCACTGTGATAAATAACGCAGTAAAAATTTCATAAAATTAGTACGACGAGACAATTACCTAAATTATAAAAATATCTAGATGTTTCGCCCATCAATGGCGCTCCTTATGAAAGTATATTTAATTAAGTACCTATTTATCGAAAATCTTAAATAAATCAGTAAAGTTCTGGCTGAGCTGTTTCAAATAATTACTTAAAAGCCTTAAAAGTTCAAGAGAATGCTTATTTGAAATTTTGGAAACGCGGTTGTGTACCTCAGAGCGTTCCTGAAAGCAATGAAAAGCATTTGTAGAATGAAGTTTTTTATAATTGTCTCACAGATGGCGGCACTCATAAAAGGCCATTTATAAATTCTAAAGTAAACCGGGGTTGCATTTTCTCTGGAGTTTTCGGAACGCGCTGTACCCCCGTCAAAATTTTGGCACTTCCTTCCCCGCAGCAGTAACGAAATATGCTGCCGACGGTAGCCCTTTGATGAAAATTCGTTATCCTGGAGTGAATATTGCTAAGAGGAACGCGAAGAGGAAATCGTCGTACCCGCGCGTCACCGCGGATTTGACGAGCTTTACGATTTTGTTTTTTTTTTTTACGTTTTTATTCGCAGACCGTGAATCGGCAACGGAATCGCTACCGGCCAACTGAAAAATCACCGATCATGGCCAGTGTTTCGTATCAGATAGCACATTTGCTGGAGAAGGTATTCTTATGAGAGCTCCTTGACTTTCTTGTTTTCTTATGGCAATAATTTTCTTACAATGAAATTTCGCAATGATTGGCTTTGTTAAAATTCCAGGGGCTTGTGACAATTGTTTTTCTCACTTAACCTCGCTTACATGATTTTACAATATCGAGACTTCTTGAGAATAATATAGTATGAATTTTGAAACAAGTATAGATATACATATACATTTTGCGTTAGTCTCACCTAACACTTGGTTGTATTTAGTTTTGTAAAACTCTCCAACACTTGGATACCGTATTGGAGTCTTTTATTGTATTTATTAGTATTTTAAATACGTAATTGAGACACAGATTTTGTGGATACGTAGTAGATAGACATTTTAGAATGCATAATAATTTTTAGATGACGTCCAGTGACAAGGACTTCAGGTTCATGGCTACAAATGATCTGATGACCGAGTTGCAAAAGGACAGCATAAAGCTCGACGATGATTCTGAGAGGAAGGTAGTTAAAATGTTATTAAAACTCTTGGAGGATAAAAATGGAGAAGTGCAGAATCTAGCTGTGAAATGGTAAAGATGCATCCAATTTTTATTTTGTTTTATATTCAGGAAAACAAATAAATTTAATCAGTATTTCATTATAGTTTGGGTCCACTTGTCAACAAAGTAAAGGAATACCATGTAGAAACAATAGTAGATGCTCTTTGTAGCAATATGGTATCCGATAAAGAACAACTTAGAGATATATCTAGCATTGGTTTGAAAACTGTCATATCGGAGCTTCCTCTTGGTTCAAGTGCACTCGCAGCTAATGTCTGTAAACGGATAACGGGTCGTTTAAGTAGCGCTATTGAGAAGGTACTAGGAATAGTTTTATAATTTAACTTGTGCCTACCACACAACTTTACCTTGTCTCAATATTCTCCATAGCAAGAAGATGTTTCCGTACAGCTAGAAGCATTGGATATCGTGGCAGATTTACTTTCCAGATTCGGTGCCCTTTTAATAACCTTTCATCCTATCATCCTGGCTGCCCTATTGCCTCAACTTTCCTCACCCCGGCAAGCTGTTCGCAAACGGACTATCGTCGCTCTCAGTCACTTGCTAACCTCTAGCAATAACCATCTTTATAACAAACTCCTGGATCATTTGCTGGATGGATTGTCTACACAGAAAGTCAAAAATGTCATACGTACTTATATTCAATGTATTGCCTCTATCTGGTATGTATATTTCTGTTATTTAATTTAGCATCTACAATGGATGTGCAATTATAACAATTTCTTTTGTTATCTAGCCGACAAGCTGGACATCGGTTTGGAGAACAAATAGAAAGAGTGATGCCTTTAATTGTTCAGTACAGTAGTGAAGATGACGATGAGCTTAGGGAGTACTGCTTACAAGCTTTCGAAGCTTTCGTTTATCGTTGTCCTAAAGAAATAACTCCGCATATAAACAAAGTAAATAGATCATTAAATTCTTAAACGAGCACTCTTTTTATATGGATAAAATATTTTAATATGTCCCTTTATTTTTATCTATAGATTATTGAAATTTGCTTGGTGTGCATAACTTACGACCCCAATTACAATTACGATGATGACGTGAACGATCTCTCCGACGGAGAAGGTATCGTGATGGAAACTGAAGAAGATGGTGAGGAAGATGCCGAGGACGAGTATTCGGACGACGATGATATGAGCTGGAAAGTTCGACGCGCTGCTGCTAAATGCCTGGAGGCAGTAGTTTCCAGTAGAAGAGAGCTACTTCCAGATTTGTATAAAGTCGTGTCCCCAGCTTTAATCGCGAGGTTTAAGGGTGAGTTCGTTGAAATTAAAATGCATTTAGTTTATTGATTTTAATTACCTAATATAAAAATAAAAAATTGGTCTATGATAGAACGCGAGGAGAATGTCAAGTCTGACATCTTCCATGCGTACATTGCGTTGCTGAGACAAACAAGACCTGCTACTGGAGTACCATTAGATCCTGACTCCATGGAGGACGAGGAAGGTCCTATTTCCTTACTGCAACAACAAGTCCCTTTGATCGTAAAGGCTGTACACCGTCAGATGAAGGAGAAGAGCATTAAAACAAGACAAGACTGCTTTTCCTTACTTAAGGAACTCGTGCTCGTCCTCCCGGGTGCCCTAACCAATCACATCCCAGCACTTATACCAGGGATACAATATTCCCTGGGCGATAAGAATTCATCATCGAATATGAAGATAGACACCCTCGCCTTCGTTCATACCTTAGTCATTACTCATCATCCTGAAGCTTTTCATGCTCATATGTCAGTCTTGGTACCCCCGGTGATTGCTGCTGTCGGAGATCCATTCTACAAGATCACGGCCGAAGCTCTATTGGTTCTGCAGCAGCTGGTCCAAGTGATAAGACCCCATGGTGAGCATCATTTGCATTCATAATTGTTTATATAAACATGATAAAATGATTAATACGTCATTTTTATCGTTCTTTAGATAAACCATCTAATTTTGACTTTACTACGCTCTCTGGTGAGCTTTATCGGTCTACCTTGTCGAGGCTTAAGACGGCTGATATCGACCAGGAAGTCAAGGAACGTGCTATTGCCTGTATGGGGCAAATCCTTGCCCATTTAGGTGATACTCTTCACGATCAATTACCGGTTTGCTTACCGATCTTCCTAGATAGACTTAGGAATGAGATTACAAGATTGACCACGGTGAAGGCTCTTACGTGTATCGCCGCCTCTCCACTCAGGGTCGACCTTAAACCCATAATGGTAAGTCTATCGGATGATTTGTAGCAGAAATATTAAAGGAACTTTCCTAAAATGAAGTTATTTAACAGGAGGAAGCGATTCCAATTCTTGGCTCCTTTTTAAGAAAAAATCAAAGAGCCCTCAAGCTGTGTTCTCTTACATTGCTGGACACTCTTGTTAAAAATTATAGTTCTGCACTTTATCCGGATCTTCTTGATAAGGTAATTTCACTATAAATGCTTGTATGGAACCAGAAAGACTCATTTTCAAAGTCAATCCTTTATTAATCTGCGATATATTAATTTAAGGTCACTGCTGAATTACCAGCATTATTAAATGAAGCTGATCTTCATATAGCTCAACTTACCCTAACGCTTCTTACAACTATTGCCAAGTTGCATCCTATTGCTCTCACCAGGGTGTCTGACAATATTCTACCGGAAATTCTAGTACTGGTCAAGTCTCCCCTTCTGCAAGGTCAGTTTGATTGTATGATTTTTAAGCAGTACGCGAGAGTAATTGACTTTTTTGTTTCTTTTTCCAGGCGCCGCCCTGAATTCCATGCTCGAGTTCTTTCAAGCTCTGGTGCAAGCCGGCATTCCGGGACTGGGCTATCGCGAATTACTGTCAATGCTTGTAGCTCCAGTGAGCCAATCGGTGCTTCACAAGCAAGCATATCACTCTTTGGCCAAGTGCGCGGCAGCCCTGACGATTACATGGCACCAGGAGGCCCAGTGCGTTGTCGAACAATTCCTAAAGGACGTTCAGAATCCGCAGAGCGATGCGCAACACATTTTTGCTCTTTTGGTTATTGGGGAAATTGGCAGACACGTGTAAGTAACTTTTAAAGTTCAATGATATCGTAGAATTCAATTATTGTAGATTTATCAATAATGTTTCTTTGCAGAGATCTGAGCAGTATTGGTTCGTTGAAACACGTTATTCTTAATTCATTCTCCTCTCACTCCGAAGAAGTCAAATCTGCAGCCAGCTACACTTTGGGCAATGTGGCAGTAGGTAACCTTCCGGAGTACTTGCCATTTATTCTCAAAGAAATTGAAGCTCAGCCGAAGAGGCAGTATCTGCTTCTACACTCTCTGAAGGAGGTATGACATTTAAATTATATTCAATTATATAATTCACAATCTTTTACTAAAATTCGACATTTAATTCCCAATCAGATAATTACTTGTCAATCCGCGAGTCCTTCGGGTGTCTCTCATTTACAAAACTTCGTCCCTTCGATTTGGATGTTACTCTACAGGCATTGCGAATGCACAGAAGAAGGTACTCGAAATGTAGTAGCGGAGTGTTTGGGAAAACTCACCCTTATAGATCCAGCAACCCTATTGCCAAAGCTCCAGGAGTCTCTAAAGTCTCCATCGGCGTTGATGCGAACGACAACAGTGACTGCAGTCAAGTTCACCATATCGGATCAGGTAGGAAGATCATCTTCGAGAGTAACTGATACTAGACAGATTCAGTAACTATATAATTTTGTTTAGCCTCAACCCATAGACGCCATGTTGAAACAATGCATGGGTAGCTTCTTGGCAGCTCTGGAGGATCCTGACCTGAATGTTAGACGGGTGGCATTAGTGGCGTTTAATTCAGCAGCACATAACAAACCAACCCTCATTCGAGATCTATTGGACTCAGTACCACCTCAACTTTACACAGAGACAAAGATAAAGGTCCGTGACATCTAATTCTTCCACAGTATAGCTCTTAGAATAGTATCGACTCATCACTCTTCTCCTTACAGAAAGAACTGATAAGGGAAGTGGAAATGGGTCCATTCAAGCATACAGTGGATGATGGACTGGATCTACGAAAGGCAGCTTTTGAGTGCATGTATACTCTTTTGGATTCTTGCTTAGACAGACTTGATGTTTTTGAATTTCTCAATTACGTGGAGAACGGACTACGCGATCATTACGACATTAAAATGCTGACATACCTGATGACAGCTCGACTTGCTCAGCTGTGTCCCACGGCAGTACTTCAAAGTCAGTAAAAAAAAAAAAAGAGCTAGACTACCTATTCATTCCAGTTTTAAAACGTACTGTGCTCGAATATTAATAATTAATTCTAATCAAACAGGGCTGGGAAGGTTAGTGGAACCTCTGAAGAGTACATGCACCATGAAGGTCAAGGCGAACTCAGTAAAACAAGAATACGAGAAACAGGATGAACTCAAGCGCTCAGCACTGAGGGCTGTAGCAGCCTTGCTGACAATACCTGATGCCGGTGAGATTTTTCTTAACGCGACAATCGTACTTTTACTACTGTTTGGCTTTTCCTATTTCTTTTGACAAAAGTACATTGCCCCTTCATTTCGGTCTGAACTTCATGAAACGCTCTTTACAGACAAAAACCCAGCGTTGAGCGAATTCGTGGCGCAGATCAAGGCGACTCCCGAATTGCAGCCTCTTTTCGAAGTGATACAAAAGGAATGCTCAGGCAGCAATATTAACGAAGCAAACATAATGGATCAAAGCTAAGGAGAGAATGCGCAAAGGAGTGCGTTGAATTTAATTTTTGTAACTTATAAAAACGTCACCGTCGGTTCCAAATACTTACGGTCATATATTCATAGTTTATTTGTACGCGTTAATGATCATCATTATTATTTTTATTTTTATTAATATTATTATTATTGTCTCTATCTCTTGTTTTCTTGTCTTTCATTGCTATTATTATTATTTCCAAGTTAAAATGCGTAGTCGCGAATCGATGTGATTTCATGTAGCGCCACTGTGTATAAACTTAAAAATAAATTCGACCGGAAGGTAAGCATTTTACGATCACCGTGGACACTGCGATATCTATTTTTGTCCCATTCAATTGTTTTTTACGGTGTCGAAATTTGGTGGGTTACGTTATATGATTTTTCATCGGTAGACCCTTGGTACGTGTAAGAGGAGGCGAAGGTCTCTCACAGAGGAAATTGTAAAGATGCTCCCTAGAGGGAGGAAATTTTGTAAATACTGGTTCATGTTAACGTATTTAATTTTTGTGGAAAAGAAAGAAATTTTCTAAAGTTTCCAGAACAAATGTTGAAGATATGATCGACAATGAGAGCGTGTTGTTTTGCATTCTTTGATCGTATGAGAACGTTGGGTCTTGTCACTTGTGTCTGCTGCACGTTGTTTTTTTGACTTTGTCAGCTTATTGGTTATTTTTATATTGTTATTATACTTTAAGTATTTACGTAACCCAGGGTGGATCATTTGTGAGGCGGAGGCACGTTGGCAGCGCATAAGTCAAACGTATTCGCTGCTACAGCAGCATCACTGTTTTGTAGTCATGATAGGGAATTTATAAGGGCATGCAAGTGTAACCGAAATAGACTTCCGGGAAGATTACAGAAAGAAGTTTTAGGTAACGTAGAATACGGATGCATGGTTGGTAAATTAGTCAGTATATTAATATAATGTACATTATTTTTTGTACGTTTCTACTTGTTAATTTTTACAAGTCACTCGAGAGAAAACTTATATATGAGCGGCTTATTGTTCTTTTTGTACTGTTTAATTTATGGGTGGTTGAACTCAACGTACCCAGGGCGCCATTTGTAACCAATGCACTCCAAGTGTCTTGTGTCGTTTTGCTAAGAAAAAAGGGTATGACATATGTTAACCAGGATAACCCCAGGTGGTTTTATCTTTTTATTTTTTTATTTTTTTTTTTGTAAGCTTTAACCCCTTATGACCCTTGGAGGCCATAAGGAAAGGAATATCCATCTAGTGAGCTTGTGGGAAAGTTCTAAGGGGTCTGACTGTGTGGTGCTGATAATAATTACTGTGGGATAACACTGAATACTCTAATGTATTCTTGTTGCATCGTAACAGTGAGTAGGTAGCTGGAAATTATGAGAATCCCCATTTTGGGACCCAAGTATACAACTGGAATGACAACTATTACTGGGTATCACGCAATGAATCGTTCTTGTCCATTCTACGTAAAATGAATTTTTTCAAAGAATGGGAAAAAGTGCTCAACGTCACATACAAGATTTTAAATTCCTGTAAAAATTTATTTCTGGAGTGGCTTTTTCGACAGGAGAAAAAGATATTTATTTATAATGTGACATCAGAGTACAGCTCTGAATGATCTTTATAGTCTTTTTTTCTGGGTCACGTTTTTAACTCGTCTGATGACAGTGGAACTCTATCATATTATGTTAGGTCTAAATAGAGAATTTGTCTTGGGCAACGTTACACTGTATTAACAGTCTTCTAGACTAGATTGAAGGAGTGCATGACTCGTGACACGTCGTTCGCCCTCGGAAGAGGATGGATATAAGAAAGAATGAAGAAAGATACGTCGAATCGCGGGTAGTAAATGCGAATACGTGTCAAGGAAGGAGTACGCTTCGTGGACATTTACATAAGACCCTCATAAATATTTGTGGTGTTCCCAAAATTATTTACAGATCGGTGAGCCGGTAACGAGGAGCAATAAAATCGAAGAACGATTCGGCGATGAGAGAATAAAATACGAACGTGACAGATGAATAGAGGCAACCAATGCAGCTATAAATAAAAGCGTTATTAATTATTTAATTACCTTTGCGTTTACTTACAGTGTAGTTCTTCACAGACTACGTTCTCCTAGTTAGTACGTTATTGGCATTTAACTTAACATACATTACTTCGTATTGATTAACCTATGAGAGAGTCTACTGCATATAGTGTGTTGATACTGTTGGTGATGCTAAAAGCTAGACGCCATTTTTGTGCCCATTGTAAAACGGTGTCGTAATCGCTATGATTTTCATTATTTTTTTTGTGTAATGATTATCTGAATAGATGACGGTCTAGTATTATACGACAGAAGCAATATTTTTCGACTGTAGGATGCGGACTGTTTTTTAATTACAAACCTGGACCGTTTCATAAATTCGAGGTGCGTGCATGCCTCGATGTCGTATCTCACGTGTAAGTCGCGTCTGGTCCCGTCATAAATCAGATGTCGCCGACCAGACGCAGAGACTAAATTACGATGAAATTGGCAGTTGAAGGGCGCATGCGCAGTTGCTACGTCGAAGCAGCATTTCCGGTTAGTTTGAAAATCAAAGAAAATAAATAAACAAAGATAATCGTACGTGAAATAAGCAAAGATAAGAATTTTCTTGCGGGTGTTATAGAACTTAGACGAAACGTGACGAAGATGCTAGCATAGGAGTCTTTAAGGATGAGCTAAAAATAGATAGAGACGCACTTGGATGGGACATTTGCCAAAGTGACGGTCGTCAGCCTCGACGATCACTTCATTCGGCTGTTTAGTAACGGCTTTGAATAGTTCGATATTATTTGGTAATTTTTATCCGCAGGGACAAGCTAACTTGGAAATTAATATGGCGGCTGTTATTGCCGTTGATCTTCGTCAAGCCTTGCGACATTAGATTTTTCCCATCTATTATATTACTCTGCGAAATTCTAGATGCTTAATTAACTCGGAAGTTTTAATACGTGGTTAAATTCTTTAGTTGTCATTAGTTTTTTCGTGGATTTAGCCTGCAGAAGCTGCTACGTGAGACCCAGGTTACTCCTGTTAAAATTCGTGGAATCCAAGTCAAAATGGCGATTGTTTAACGCTGACCCAACGTGAAAGCTTGTTATTACTGGCAGTGCAGTATATGGAACGGGGATGATTAATAAAAACGAATCGGGATGACATACGGCGTATGGCGATTCGACCTGTATAAATAAGTTTCGAAATTTTCGATATACAACATACGGTTTGAAAAGTTCAAATATTTCGTGATGCTTTGTGACAAGTGCGTAATCATAACCCTATTTCTCAAATATTATACAGGACTCCCTGTATTATAGTTTTTTAAAGCAGGGATAAAGGGTAAATATAATGAATTGTAAAACTTATTGATACTCATTAAAATTGTTTCAGACCACCAGACATCGCATCTGAGTTTCTTTATTAAATCGGGCTCAAATATCGAGGATAAAAAAGAAAAATTGCTCAAACTGGTTTGAACAGCGAATCAGAACGTATCGCGCTCAAACATAAATCAGCTAAGTGATCCTTGCTGTCTTATAACACGTAAGAAATTGTAACCATTTCACAGAATTTTTCGTTAAATAATAATTGTCATATTGATTCATCAATCTAATGATCGATGACACAATATTGCAGAAAGGAGAGTATGAATTAACGTGTTGTATTTTGTATTAAGTAATACGAATTAATTGTAATTTGTATCCTCGATCATGCAGTTATTAATTCAAATGGCATAATTGAAAAGAGTTAAATATAAGTTGCCGTTAATAAGTACGAGACGTTGTTTGTTAAGCAGAACAAAAGGTCGATGAAAGAAAATGAAAAACAATGAATAAACAGTATTTATTTTCCGATTGGCAATTGATTGATAACGCTACAATCTGTTATCACGTCGTAAGTCGGAATTCTACCTTTCTCATAATGACGAGACTTCTCACCTGTAAACTTAATCTGCGTATTGAATTACGTCGTGTGATAAAGAGGGGAAGAAAAGCGTATGAGAAAAAAAAATTCCACCGACGCCGTGGAGAATCTCTGAAACAGGATTTCACATTACAAGAGGGAGTACTGTCCCCGGATACTTCTAAGTAGATAAAATATCCCTTAAGAAATTGTCACACCCCCAATAACAAGTTTAAAAAATTTTTCACAGGTTATTCAAAACGTATTTGCCCGGCAGAGGTGAAGATATTTGATTTCAATCGAACCGTGACAGCTCAATCAAATTTCATATGGACGTAGGCATTCATTATCCAAGTCTGTATAATCCATACCATCTTCATGAGTACCAATAAGTAATTCTTGACGAACAAGGCAATCCTTTGTTAAAAAAAAAAGGTTAAGCAAAAGATTCGATAAAGAAGATCCTTCGAGGAATCCCGTCCCTTATCCAGACCACCCCGAACAAGTATATTTCCAAGCCTGTAAGGCATGTGACTACGTGAGTTCCTCTCGGCGCCTAACGTCGTTGTCGTCGTCATTCTATAACGTTGCTTACAGTCGCACACTTATTCCCGCTGACTCCGCGTCGACCAACAGGCTCGACTTGGTATATAAGCAGCCGCGGCACAGAACCACCGCATTCGAAGTAGCGTTGCGACGCGATTCAGTTCCATCTTACGTTAACTAGACGAAACATACCCTACAGTGATACAAGGTGTATCCCCCTGGTGTAAATTATTCTAAAAAGTAAATCACAGTGACATTTCTTTCCAATTTCAAAACCGTAATCATGTGCGTACGTACTGTGACAAACGAGGAACCTATTAGGACAACCCTGGCCATGGAGAATAATCCTACGAAACTGACCAAGGCCAAGGAAAAGTACATGAAGCTGCACGAGGAGATGATTGAGCGCGAAGAAGCTGAGGCCCTTAGACAAGAGAAGGCTCAGACATTATACGTTCCTAGTATCAACAATGACATCCTGGCAATGAGTACAATCCAGTATAGCATCATCTTCGACAAGTTCTCTCAGTACTATTCCGTGTGGCAGCAATCTAAAACATACGGGTAAGTCAAAGAAAAATACAATTCTGACTTTCACTGGCTGATAAGACTTTGTTTCGACTTGAGGTCATAGGTTAGTTTTCTCTTACTTTAATTAGCAGTATCCTTAGTTATACCTGTATCTATCGGTACCGTCTTGGGACACTTCTTATAGGTCAGTCACTTTCTTTTCTATATTGTCTTTTTTTAATCAGTAACATATCAAGTTTCGACAATGATATTTAATCCCAGCTTCATGACCGGTACCATGTAAATTGGGGCCACGTCCGTAATGGAGTTTGTGATTTATCAAGCCAATCGCAGAGAGGTGTAATAAAAAAAAAAGGTGGATATATAAAAAAATAACAATCAGCAACGTTACGCTACTTGCGTGCCTTGAAAGGACAAGTTCTGTTACGTGACACTTGGTACAGTATGAAATACCTGAGCAATTGTACAAAGAATTAGGTTATTTCAACAGAGAAATACAATCGTTGACGTAACATTGGATATTAAACAACCAGGATGGGATTTAATGATCATTAGCCTATGAAATTGTCGGAAACAATGTTAAGGACAAAAATTATGTTCTAATAAGAATTTTTAGTGACGCTCAAGGCACTCAAAATTTTCTAACAATTATTCGTTGCCTATAGAAAAAATAACGTAACCATGTGACAAGCTGAATCACTTGACGTTGCTTTTTTAAACCTGTTACTCGCGAAATATCTAAAAGTAACAAGTGGGGAATCATATACCTGACGTTCCACAGATGAGATCTTAGTATTCCCGAAAAAATATACTTAATAATAATAAATCTGAATACATTGGATAATTTTTCTCTGATTCATCTCAAAATTATGCTAATTAATCTAGTATACTGTAACGCTATCAAACTACATATATAGTAGGTACTGATCTAAAATTCAATCTTCAAACTAACGGAAACATCATTACAGATATTCCTATCTTAATGGATCAATGAACCACATATATAATTTATTCCATGAATTAACTCAAGTCGCCTCTCTATGTGGTCCCATTAATTGAATTCGATCAGTTACAGTAACGTGAATACAAGAAAAATCCATCGAAAGTTTCGGGACTCTTATATGCATTAAATTACATATGAAGAAATGACAATCCTATCAATCAATATTTAATCTGAATATAAAATACGAAAGGTACTTAAAGTTCAGACTAGCTACATGCGTTATTCACGCAGTCTTCTTCCCGAGAGTATTATGTCTATTGATAATGAATGATAAGAATAAAGATTTGAATTAATTATCAGTCACTTTTCAAGAGGGCACCTTGAAAAGGTCATTTAATAAAAAATTTAATGCAAATGAAGCATCTGACTAATATTCGTCATTAATGATAGTCATGAAATTTTTATCAAAGAACTTCCGTTAAGAACCAAGGAAGTTGAAATTAATGCTCATTATAAACGTAACCACCCCCTTTTAACGATCAATGATATAATTTGACAAATTGCTGATGATTTTCGCTATGAAATGATCTATTGCTTGGTTGCGTGCCGTCTCGCACGTTTACCAGGTGCCCTGATAAGTGGTAGCGTACGATATAGGCCATATCAATCTATATACCTATTAGACTGCGCTATATACATGCATATCCATGCTCACATTCTCTCTATATACATACAGTGCATATATAGTATATACCAATTGTTAATATATATATATACATCTATGTGGGGCGTAACGTTCAATTCCATTGCAACGATTTTAATTTAAAGAATCACTCCTCTAATATTGAATGCCAGAACGGTCATGTGTTGCCTGAGCATCCATTGCTAATCCTAGGTCCCAGAGGCTGTATGATATATATATATTAGCCGGAGGGATCTAATCTTTATAAATTTAATACTCGTATGATGCTCCATTGCGAGCTATTAGTTGGTACGCCTGTATTAGGCCGGTAATGCAGCTCCAGGAAGTACATGGGTCATACGTGTAAAGTAACCCCCGTCCTTTGGCTCTTATTGAATTGGAGGGTTATTGAAAAACTTAACAATATATTACATCTGCATGATTTCATTCGAAAATTGAAAGGATATTCTTCATCATATTTGATCGTCTACTACAGACGATTATACACTTTCTGTAAATCACACGATTATTTTATTTTCCACTGTTTGCCGTGCAAACGGGGTCTGCCGATTTGAAAATTGTTGACACTTGGATTGCGCAATTTCACGATACGTTAAGCGAAAAGTGTATTGGCCTTTGTGAGTCTTTTGAAGAAGTAGGACGGTAGTGGAATATTTTTCAGGCGGAATAGTTACTTTTTTTATTTATTCAATTATCAACTTCATCTTATTAATATGTTACGGGCGTAACGTGTACTCGGTAATCCTTCTGGAACTTTTTGCTTGTTTTACTTTCGTCGTCGATTCGTCAATTGATAATCTCTCGGAAAATTAAAGAATGAAAAGATAAAAATTTTCCGTTGCAATTTTCACGAGACCCTGAATGCTCGACCGTGTCAGTAATTAATTTATTACTAATGACAAACCTTAATAATATGTTGTATCTGAGTTGCGCTAGGTTGGTAGTATGACCTGTAATACGTATGCAGAACGTACCTTCCATCTTGACACATTGCCTTTTATTTTATTTAGTCTCTGCCGTCTGCAATTACTTCACGGTTCTTTCACACGTTATCTTTTTGGGCGATCGTATCCTCCGGTCTGCGCGAGGCTCTCTTTAGGGCATCATTTTCATATAAATCCCCGTCAGAGTGGTCGGAATATATCGTCGACTCGAAGCGATAAAGATGGTCGGCCATCTTGTAAGAGACGTTCAAAAAAGAAACTTGCGAAGGACAATTTATTTATCGTCGTAAAGTTAAAGCGACGCTCACAACGTGTCGAACAATATATTTGATAAATTGGATTTATTTGTTTTAAACAACTTAAACTTTTCGAATTATCAAATCGTCACGTGCCTTTCTTTCGTGAGGTGCGACGTGCGACGAAGTGAATGATTTTGAATGAGAATGAATCGTTAAGCGTCTTCGTCAAAATAAATTAAATCATTCGAGGCCACATTAAAAGACGACTGAACACGTTTTGATAGTGAGATAAAATATTTCACTAAAAAAATCACCACATTCCAAAGCTGTCGAGTACACATACATATGTATTGGTCTTTCGTTTGACTAGCAATCTGTGTCGTTTACTGCGAGTACGTAATTCACGTGTGGAAGAAAAACTTATGATATGACGAAGTCAAGTGGATCTGTGCCAAATCTTTGAAGATTCTTCGAAACGTATGAGCTCTCGTGACGCAAATTATACGCGTCAGCGGCACCCGATTGTTTGATGAGTTGTGTCGCGTAGACTTTTTATATGATGGAGTACGTCAGCTGTTGGTGACATTCAAGTAAAATTTTATTGTATTCTTTTTCCCTTTATCAGAGGATTCAATGCAATATATCAGGAGGGATTTTCCGCGGTACTTCATCTAACAGTTAGCAGATAGCTTCTGTAATTTTTTATAATAAAAATAACTCGTGTCTTTATGTAACTCTTATGACATAAAATTACGAAAAAGTTTATTAAAATTCACGCGGGATGGATTTCTCATTAAGTTATACAGATAAGACCGCCATCACGCAGACCTAGTCTGCTAATAATGATATCTTGTATGTACAGCAATTATTTCTCTTATCAATTTGAATAAATTTAAAAAAGTTGAATATCGGCACGCTAGTTCCACGGGACAAACTCCAGATAAATTGATAACACAACCATAAACATTACAGGATACAAACCAAATTGCATGCTTCACTTTTCGGCATTATCGTTATTAACAATAAGATTATTAATCGGTTCCAACCCGAATAAGTTTATCAAACTATTTTAATAGCGCTAATCATAATAATCCTTTAAAATCGTAAAATCCAATCGTTTGGTTTATTTTTAAAATAATAACTAGTTCTAATCTATTGTATACCTAGAACAACATCTTTCATCGAAAGCGATGCATATGAATATATTTTAAAATAGAACGGAGTAGATTTTTTAAAAAATACAATCTTCAAAATTTCATATAAATCGTAGATCGTTACGCAGTGGCAGTTTTGATATCTTATTTTTTAATACGCAGAGATACGTGAAACGATAAACACTTGTCTTACGCACTGTCTATATACGTAACTGATTTAACTGATTGTCAAAAATAAAAGTATTATATCATTGCACTTATTTTATATGGGCCTCTATCAATATCAGATCAGCGAAATATTATTAATAAAATGTAAGGTTGTAGTTGTTTTCGAATAATGAGAAAATAGCCAATGGAAGACAATAACGAATGATTAAACAAATCATTTTCTTGTTTTATGTGTTAGACAGTAATGTAAAATAAATCAATGAAATAGTAAGTGTCCATAACAGCAGTTACAATTTGAAAAATCATTTGACTGGGCGACGATGGAAAAATGATAGACGACCTGTTTTATACTAATCGCCACCTTTGTAATTTGTACCATCTCGGGACGAAGGTCTTCAATAATATGTTATTTTTAACTTTTGATGATTACGCTAATCAATTTCGTTATTCTTTTAATCTGTAGCGGTACTACGCCTCATTCATAGTGATAATCAGGTTGCAGGTTCCATCACTTATAAGCGTCGCGACGCTAACGTGTCTTGAAAATGTACTTTTTCTATGTTATAAATAGATACCACGTAGAATGTAAAACTAGGCATACTAATACTTAACTAGATTTGACTTATCAGCTAATCTAGCCTTATCTCTGGCTATTTACTCTTTGGGGTCTTTAATCTCTATTTGTTCTTCTTCCAGCATCTTGTTTCACACCACACAACCTGCTCATGTGATTATGATTGCTGCGATGCTATGCGTTACATCTGCATTGGTACCAACAAATGAGAAGAATAATCCCGGACATCCTCACTCCAGAACAGCATCCTTCATTTATTTGGCATCGTTTGTCATGCATTTTGGAGCACAGATTTGGATGACGTTTATCTCAGGTATTTAGTTTGGTGATATTTTATCTTAGATACAGTAGGAAATTTACTGACTTACGTATTTTTTAAATCTTTCTCTCTGTTCTTCCAGGACTTTCTCTGTACTTTGCACTTCCTAGACATACGTTTGGAGAGGTACAGCGTATATTGTTCCCAAGATACTTCACAATAAATGCCACTCTCAGTCTCACGACGCTTCTCATATTCGTCAAGCATCATCCAACACACAGCTGGGATACTGAAATTGCCGTTCAGGTTGGTATTACGCAGGAGTCTAATTAGATGTTCTAGATGTATAAGATCTGTTAAAGAATAAACATAAATGTATTTAATTAAATATTTGTAGATTGCTGGCATGTCCCTTGCCTTTTTTCTGGAATTGGTAATCCGTTTGTATCTGACTCCACCATTACTCAAGCTCATCCTTGCCAAGAATGCTCTGGAACGTGCAGCTGGTGTTGGTAACGAAATTGGCCGCCACAATCCTGGTCCCTTGAAGCACTGTCCTCACTACCTGAAGATTCATCAGGCCTTCAGAAAAGTGCACGTCAGTATTGCTATGGGAAATATGCTGACAATGGCGTGCACAGTGTTACACTTGCATTACATAGCAAGCAAACTCTGCGTTTTATAGAGATATACTAAATTATTATAGGGTAAAATCTTTATGTAATATGTAAGGGACCTACAATGCGTAGCTAAAATATCCTTCCGTCGAAGTGACATGTTGGTTTCGTGTACAGAGAGCCTCCAAAGCAGAGACGTCTTCGAATAAGACGTCACACGCTTCCCACGCGCAGAGCCGAATGAAATATAATCTCTGATGTCTAATTTTCTTGATGCATTAGATGTTCGCGAATGGCCATTCTTACCATGTAGCGTATCGGGTCATTAGGCATTTAATGTTTTTTCTTTCCACTTCAAATTTCCCACGGTTTTCATATTAAGTTAGATTATGCCCGTTTCCTCCGACGTGGTTTAAGCCTGGTTCAATTTTTTAAATATAGTTTTAAGATAGGGTAACCAGAGTGTAAACTTCGATTAACGTCGGGCGAAACGGGCATTAATCAGATACCGTGCTGGTTTTACGAATCTATGAACGAATTTTTCTTTTTCTTACGTTCTAACCAATTATTATGTACAATGGACCAAGATTTCCGATGGGAATCCCTGAGTCCTAGCAATTATTTCTTCCTCCCCTTCTCGTTCATGTGACTTTGTATTTTCAATACTGGAGAAAAGTATATAAAAGAAGAGTACGAGTCATCGAGAAGAGCCTGTGAGAGAAAACTTACACGAAATTATATATTATTGACGCATGAAAAAGAAAGTCTAGTAAAAGAAAATGGCAATATGCGAAAGAATACTTGCCGTATATTTATACTCATATTGATTCGTTGTTTTCTTATATTTTGTTATATAATAATGTGAGGCTTACTCTGTATCAGAGTAATAACGATGAAATGTATTTATTAATGTGACGATCAAAGCTGAAAAAAATATTTTTCTCGTGAAAGCGTGAGAGAGAACGCTTAAAAATCCTATTATGGCAATTTCGATGGAGCCTTAGTACAGCTATATTGATGTGAATTTAAAGTTAATCGACTGATATTTAATTTATATGCGCGAACTTCAATCATTGCAAATATTTCGCTCATCGCTTAGTTTTACATTATAGGTAATATTATTAAAGAATAAAATTATTGCTTTTTTTGTAAAAAAAAAATGTATTTCATTTTTATAATAATACGTCATCCAAGTGAACATAGTAAAACCAGGAAAGTTCAGTTGATTGCTTCAGTTCAACTTGGGGGCTTGACAAGGTAAGATTCGATTTTTCACAGATATCAAAAACTTGTATTTTTATTATAAATATTACGAGTGTGATATTAACATTAGAATTGTGAGGGCCGATACAAGCTTAACGTATGAAAATTTTCACGAGATATTGATAAGAGCTGTTACGTCTACTGCGACTATCTATTTGGAAATTTGCTGATTATTTTTCTGTATAATTATTGAATATATATTGATCACTGTATACGCACACGCAATTACTATATGTATAAACTAGTGATACATAGCGAGCTACACCAAGACGGTAATTTCGATATAAACATATGTACAATGGCGCAGTGTCTCATTTGTCTTGGGTATCTTGTCAACGTATCTACGAACACTTTGAGTGACACCGCGTATAATTTATAAAATTTGTTATTCAAAATAACTCGAGCGATCAATCGTATCACGTCTTCGACGACAATGATGTATATATATAAAATTTCAAAAAGAAGAAAGGGAATTTTAGAAAGAGAATAAAGAACGAGGGCCGAATTTTAAATAACTTCTCACGATTCAACGAGGCTCAGCCAGCGTAGTTCGAATTCCATGAGACAAAGGAATTTATAATATCTTCAGCATAAATATTGCATTCGTTTAAATCTATCAGTCTATCGAACCAGGTGTTCCTTTAAAAATCTCACTATGTTACAATCGCCTTGGTCCTGGGGTAGAGATGGGAACCTTAGCTTTGTCACAGAATAAATTAAACTCATATTTTCACATTGAGGAAGTCCTTAAACACGTAAAATCTCGGCTGCTTTATTATAGCAAATAGCAATCCAATCAGGCTGTGTTGCCCCCCATTGAATTTGATTTACTTCACCCTCAGCTGCTGTGTAAGCCAGGATTGGATCTTCAATGGCTCTTGGCATTTGTTGTATGTCCCAGATGAGGGCTTGATGATCGTCACCTGCTGTGCATATGTGACAGGAGGAGTGTGGTGCCCAGGCAATACCGTTTACACTGGCTCTATGGTTATTTAATCTTGCTACTGGTGTACACGGTACACGTACGTCTAAAATGATCACTTCGCAAGCATCCATTGCAACAGTGGCCAAGTAATTGGGATCTTGTTTATTCCATGCCAAACGTAGCAATGGTGTGTGTTGAGGATCTTCGTAAATTATTGTCGAGTGTTCCAGATGTCTAAGATCAAACATTCTTACAGAACCATCTGCTCCTACCGAAGCAAACATGTCACGACCTCCTCCCGCGCGACTGAAGGCTATGTCGTATACTTCCTTGTCATGAGCTATGAGCTGTGTCTTCACATGTCCAGTAACCATATTTACTCGTCCAAGCACTTGTCCTGTCTCCAGGCCCCAGATTGTGCAGGTAGTATCGATACTAGATGTTCCAATTAAATTGGGGTCAACTTCATTCCAATCGAAGGATGTTAGCGGTGCACAAAAGTCAGAGTTCTTATTGTTATTTAGCACACATTCCAAGCGTGTTTCAGGTTCTGCAGCACGCCATACCCGCAAATAATCACCAGAGGTAGCCAAAAGATCAGGGAAAAGTCCTGGAAACAACATAACATTGTCAAACCCATAAAATCTTAATACATACTATTCATGCATAAAGTTTTACCTTTACTATCTGGAATCCACATAATTTTTGTCGTAGGATAAGGATGATCAAAGGTACTCTTAGCACTAAACTCTGAGGTCTCTTCGTCCAGAGAAACTATCTGAACCTTGTTGTTGTATTCCTCGACAAAACTTCCAAGAGCCAAACGAAATCGTTTATCAGGCCTTACAGACCAATTCATACTATACAATGGCCATGGGGCTTCATATTTATAAATTTCTTTACGTTTTGGTGGAACACTGTGCAGAGCCATTTTTATTCAATTTTGTACTACTATGTTCTTAGTTTTCCCTTAAAGTCAACCGGCGCCAGATCCCGATACTTAATAAGTTATCAAAAAATGTATAACAAAACTTTTAGCAGAAATAATTCGTTTGTTGGTTTTCTTATGTATTATATCTAACCTACGGGGTAATCACAAGTCACTGAAGCGCAAACACAGTAAAAAAATCACACGTGACTTCAATTTGATTCCCTTATAAATTATTTGCAACTACTCTCCATTTAATTACATTAAACATTTTCACTGTCTCTTTGTTGCTAATTGCCAAATAGTTATACGAATATAACTCGCAAATTTCTCTGTCAATGGATAATAAAACCCAAGCTACAGCATAGCTACAGAAGCCGGTCAGCAACGCACTCTACATTTAATGGCCGTCGTAGAAATATTCCTGGTTGCGCTGTAACCGCACTCTGGAGACGATAACACATAGAACAATGAACGCAGTACGAGAACGTATAAAAGTAATTAGTACGAGAAAGTAAGCAAATCTGTCTATATTATAGAGCAAATTTATAAAGGTAATTATTGAATATAACGTTGCAATTAGCTGGATCTGTAAGCAATTTTAATGAGATTAATTTCAGTAAATGGAATAGAATTTTGACGATCGAGAATAGTAAAATGAAGATATTCAACAGATTAGAATAAAAATGCTTTCTCTCATTTGTGCTGTAGAGTCATGATTATCTACATATTAGATCATTTTTGTTAACAAAACAAAAGTCTCACTGAACTTTTCATTCTGTATAGGAAACATAGACAAAACGATGAAAGCTGTTTTTCATATCGCGTTACAATTCATAAAAATGTTAAATAGATCTGACTTAACACTTGTATCATACTTAATATACGATTGGCGTTCGGAGTTATTAAAAATTCAAATATGAATATAATTAATCAAAAAGTAGTTCGTCAAACAAAAATCTAATATACTTTATCAAAATCATATCGTCGAAATTATTACTTTTGATTAGCGACATATTATTTTGATGTGGGTAGTCCGTATTAATGTAGTAGGAAGTTACGTGTCGTCACAATATGTTGCGAAAAGTCAGATTTCCATATTAACTAATAAAACATAGTGAAGAAAATATGTTTATTGGGGAAAAAAAAAATTAATAGGTTATGAAAAATGCAAATGATTTATGTGCAGCGTTGCAAACGGCTCGTCCAACCTGGAAGAATATTTGGCGCTAAACTCCACAATGTTGATTGGCTGAGTTCGTCGGACGTGATGTCATCATGTTGATATCAGCCAATAGGAATCCACTATACTTCAATTTTGGTGCGAAATCTCAACATTCGGCTTATTCGTTGCATCAAGGTACGACCGTACAGGTTCTCTTTTACCGAATTAATTACTCCAGACATAAAAATGCCGCTCCACGTATCAAGCAAGGAAAACATCAGTAATAACCTTAGTAAAGTAAATCTTAACGGGAAGGTAAGTTCAATGTTATTTTCTGTCATTATTTTGTACATAAAATTCGACAATTTTTCATCCGATCGTAGTTCAATGACATACTCATCACGAGGTAACGCCTTATTCTAAATTTATTCTTATAGATGAACATTCTCGTAATATAATGAAATTATTTAGCGACGTGTAATATGTTTATATCAATTTTTATACAAATTTTCGTGCTTTGAGGAATAAGAAAAAGTACGTTATTGTGTTAATATGTTACTATTGGATTTGGCGCGAAAATTTTTTTAACGCTTTTATCTATCTTCTTATTCAGATTATCTAATATAAGGAAAATATTTCTTTTTTATTTATAACAAATCATTGATTTTAATACTTGTACTACTCATTTATTGCATATATATAAGGAAAATGTTCATTGAATGATTTATATGGAAGTTCCTGGTAGTCTGTTATATCTACTGGTTTTCTCCCCTACCTTTTGTGAAATGACAAAAATAAGGTATATAGCAATGATAGCTTAAATATTATTCTGCTTGATTTATCCGTTGCGCTCAATGGAAGGCGGTAACCTGTCTCGAGAAGTACGATTTAAATAATATTTTGGTGTTAGTTCTGTGACACTCATCTGTCTTTACTGTTTTTATAAGATACTACTTGTAATTAAGAAATCTATTTGGCTTGTCATTGATAAAAAAAATACAAAATACATTGATACAAAAAATAAGTTTTGTTCTGTGTGAGGTTATCTGCTTTGTTGAATGGGTCTGCTATATATTAATATTTATATATATTTCGAATGTTACACAATTAACTATACCTGTTGAAAATTATAATTATTTGTAATATATATATATATTGGGTTTCATTATTTCAAGCTGTAAACTTTTATAGAAAAGATGACCAATGAACCATGCGTTATGTATTAGGTTGTGCAAGATAGTGAATAGATCTAAGTTCTCTTACAATGAGATAACAATAGTTAATTATGTTTCAGAATTCTCCTAAAAAAATTTGTGTAGAGCCATATATATCGAATGACAAAGGTGTTAAAAACAATGTGAGTATAACTAGACGTTGATCTTAATAGTGTTGTTTACAAATGTATTTAATGAATATCATTGTCAATAGGGCATTTCTAAAATTACAAAGAAATTGGATCTTAAGGAGAATGGCTTTGATCCAGAACTAGAGCCTCTACTCAAAGAGAATCCTCGTAGATTTGTTGTATTTCCAATCGAATGGCCAGATATCTGGGCAAAGTACAAGGAAGCAGAGGCTTCCTTCTGGACTGCAGAAGAAGTAGATTTAGGCGAGGTTAGTTTTCTTATATAGAGTTATGATCGGAGTTTGATACGTTATGTTGTAATTTTATTTCATTTACTCTGTAGGACGTGAAGCACTGGGTAAAGTTAACAGATGACGAACGTCATTTTATATCCCATGTATTGGCGTTTTTTGCAGCATCAGATGGTATTGTCAATGAGAATCTAGTAGAACGGTTCAGTCAAGAAGTCCAAGTAACGGAAGCACGGTGCTTCTATGGTTTTCAAATAGCAATTGAAAATGTACACTCAGAAATGTATTCCCTCCTTATAAACACATTCATCAGTAATGCCGAAGAGAGGGATTTTCTCTTCAATGCCATCGAGAATCTTCCCTGCGTTGCTAAAAAAGCCAATTGGGCCTTAAATTGGATTTCGCATGACACAGCAACTTTTGCAGAACGTGTGATTGCGTTCGCAGCGGTAGAAGGAATCTTCTTCAGTGGTAGTTTCGCTGCTATCTTTTGGCTGAAGAAACGTGGTATCATGCCTGGACTTACATTCAGCAACGAATTAATTTCCAGAGATGAGGTATGTTGATTTATTTTAAGAATTCTTTCTCTATATCGATTGGACTATTTATATATTGCTTCTTTTGCTACAGGGACTTCACTGCGAATTCGCTTGTCTAATGTTCAAACACATTATACAGAAACCTTCTCAGGAACGAGTTATCTCCATTATCAAGGATGCTGTGGAAATTGAAAAAGAATTCCTCACGGTAGCACTTCCAGTCCAAATGATTGGAATGAATTGCACTCTCATGTGTCAGTACATCGAATACGTCGCCGATAGACTTCTAATAGACTTAGGATGTCCACGCGTAAGTAGATTCATGAGAACAATTTTTGTATTTTGAATGCTCACTTATATTCTAAAATAATCCAAAATGGTGGAAAAGTTGCTACTAGGACGATAGTCTTTTTTTCTACTGTAGTCACATACTATGTTATGCAATTTTAGGTCTATGGCTCTAACAATCCCTTCGACTTTATGGAACACATCTCCCTCGCAGGCAAGACGAACTTCTTTGAGAAAAAGGTTGGTGAATACATGAAGTTCGGTGTTAATCAGACAGAAGAGAAAACTAATGGTGCGTTCAAAATGGTCGAAGATTTTTAACAAGGATTTAATAACATCAATTTGTGATATATTATGTAAAAAAAAACTGGTACACCGAGCGTGCTCGGGTTCTAATATCTTCTGTAAGTTTTCTATATTTGTAAAGATATTGTATTAGCTTGTAGATTTTGATAAGTTGACTAGGAACAGTTTTATTCCGTAAAAAGACCTGTATGTCTGTTTGATATAAAGCCATTCACCTGGTCGAATGACTGTGACATAGAAGTGCAATTTTGAAAATTCGTCGCTGGTGCTGACTCGCGTGTTACACGTGCAAAAATTCTATTTCTATCAGGTGGAGACTATATCTTTGTGTGCGCACTTAGGCTGATTGCTTTCATAGGAAATTTACAAATTCTTATGTAAATGACTATCGCGGTTGTTCTAAAATATTTATCTACTGCATTTTTTCATTTAATGATTGTCACATAGCCTGAATGATACAGTTAATCAATATGTACATTTTATTTCTCAGATCCTAGCATTATCTGTATGCTTGCGGTATTCACTTAAGTTACATGGTATCGTACTTATATTTTATATAACGATCAGATAAATTACAGTTAGAATAATAAATTGCCTAGTAATTTAACTGTTTTTACTTTTTATTGAAAACCAACAAAAATAGATATAAAATTATCAATGAATTCTTATAGCTAGTGGTTTTACAAAGGAGCAGTACTTAAAAAATTGAATGTATTTTACATGATTCATGAACATAATTTCACTTTACTTCGACAGTAAAGCCTCTTTGAATTTTTTCTAAATAAGTTTTTCGGCATTCCATCTCATCTGCTGGTCTATTATAAGGAAGCCAAACAGGTTCTCCAACAAAGTAACGTTTAGCCTTAATGTAATTCTGAAACATACAATGAACCTTGACTAGACCATTGATAAGAGGAAATTTATACAAAAAATTACAGAAAAATTTAAAAATCCCCTCTACCTTGACATCAAGAGTGAATCTGTGATATATTCCACTAGGGATAATTAATAGATCTCCTGGTGTAACTTCAATGCGTATCCATTTATCATTCTTGTCCCTGACATCAAAATATCCAGATCCATCCAAAATCAATCGAATTTCTTCATCAGTGTGGAGATGTTCGGTAAAGAAATTTTTCAGCTACAAATCCCAAAGATTTTAAATTACAACTCAGAACTCTGGATGCTACCAACAATTACAGTGTCACTTATAAAAATTCTTTATTACTTTTTCTTCATAGTTCGATAAACATTTCTCAGAGCAAATTATCTGATCCTCATAAGTGTATCCACGTTCCTTCTTTAACTTCAACAAAGTTTCATCCTTGTCATAATTCTCATGGTCGACCTAAAATTTATTTTGCGCTATTTCGGCTTACCGGCTTGAGCAATTACATTTTATTTTTATTTAAGTACTGTCGGCACAGAATAACAACCAGATGCTGTTGTCAGTTTACATAACGTATCAATCATTTAAAACGAACATATCCAGACATTTAGGCATACAATTACTAACCTTAAAATATTCAGTACCAGAAACGTCGAATAGTTCTGATAACGTTACAAATTCTGGTGGTTCTTTGTGATGCTCTAATCTTTGATCAGCATCACTGTCATCCATGTACCAGGCGCGGACCATTTTTATTTTGTTTTTGATTTTAAAGGAAAATAAGAGTACTGTCCCGTGTATAGAAGACAGAACAGGAAGGACAGAATTGGAAAAATAGTTTGGTGGGGGTTGACCAATCATCTTCGTTCCGGAAATGTCAAATGATGCCCGGGTTCTCCATGTAGAAGAAAAAACAGAAATTCGGAAAGTGTAAAAATCAATTTTCGTTCATTAAAATCAATAATAAGGACACATTGTTAGAAAAGTCATTAAATATTAATTATCTAGAAGATTGTATAAATTGAAATGCGAAGATTTGGAATTCGTAAACTTCATCAAAGTTTTAAGGTTAGAATGTTTGCCCGTTTTCTGAAAAATATGGTACACGGGGAACCGGGCATCGTTTGACAATTTGATATCGGTGTGGGCCCACGAGACAGGTAAGTACAGAGATGAGTAGGGATATGTACAACGCTACGGTTTTAGGCGATATCAAAAACATGGCGCTAAATCGTAGCGGCGAATCCGGGAGTACGATTTTGTGATCATCATCTCTGTCAACAAAACATATCCCGTCGTAGCCCAACTAAACGTGAACACGAACATAAACCTTAGCGGGCAGAGGTTCTCCACTACTCACCGCTCGTCCAAAGCAACCCTCAGAACGAGACAGGAAATTATAGAACTCAGTCTACTCTGAAAAAGATTTCTGAACGTACCCCAAGGAGTTTGGTTTTCCGAGTTCTTCCGTCTAGTATGACTGACGTGATTATTTCTCATTGTAAGTACTGTAAACAACATTGGATCCTTCTCAGATATATTAAATAAAAATAGAGATACGACGATTGTTAGCGGCACTTGCAGAAAGTTGGGAAACAAATCCTAAAACGGTATCGGTGAGACAGAGATAAGTAGGGAGATTTGAACTGGCACCACCTAAAATTACATTCTCAAGCAACTTCAAATAACAATTAAAATTTGATCTTCTCTTGGCCAGATTGCAAACTTTTACAATATGGTTGATTCTGGAAAACACCTATGACAGGTGCGTTCGACGGTGAGCCGAGCTCGCTGAGAAAATAGTTTCTCCGTTTTTGAATGCTGGACACTTATTCGGATGCATGAAGATAAAAATATTCGTAAAGAAGCCCGGTAGTGACAATTGATTTCCTGGCACTTGGTCTTCTATGAGGGCATAAAGCCAAAAAGAAATAAGAAGTAGGAAGAGATAAGAATAACAAATATTAGTTGCACAGTAATATTGAAAATTCAAAAAATTGAATAAAATTTCCAAATACTATTATTGGATCTTTATTTACTTTAAAAATTTATTCAAAATATAAAATTGAGGCTAAATCAAAATCTCGCATAATATACGCAGTAGATAAAAATTGACTTGAAACTGTAGAATATCAAAAATAAATTACGTTCAAATTG